TTAAATAACTTCCCCAAGGTCACACAGCTTGGAAGTGGCCAGACCTGCATTGGAACCCGAGACTGACGTCATTGCCTAAAATGCCTATGAGACCCGGGTGGGACGACCTTGATCAGGACCTGGTCCTCCCTTTCCTCCCAAAGGGTTGGGACTGACCTCCAGAGGTGAAGGATGAACTCGCAGGGCCCTTTTTTGCTCTTGGCCTGCACACCCTGAAAATCAGTACATAGAGCAAGGGCATGCAGAGCCTTTGCAAAGGTCTCTTCTCCCACTAGATGATTTTGTAGTCTGAGAAAGTGTTTGTCACCTCTCCAGGCTCTGGAGCAGGTACTTTGGGGAGAGAGTGGAAGGGTAGGAGCCAGGAAGAGGATATGGATCAGAGAGCCTGGTGTGGTTAGTATCCTGATATCTCTGAAGTAGTAACAAAGCAGTCTCAGCCAGGCTGGCTGTATCTGCCACCAGCAACTGCAGACAGGCAGAATTACCCAGTCATCCTCCAGGCCTGGAGAGATGAAAGCACAAAACCCACTGACTCCTCTCCTGCTGTCCTGAGCGTGGAAGGGCCTCCGAGTGCCAGTCTGAGTGCTGATAGCTCTTCTGGCTTCTCTGCAGCAGGAGGGGAGGAAGAAGTGTTTTCCTCCTGTGAAGGTTGGTCTGTGCCTCTGAGATCACTAAAGGGCACAGGAATGGTGAGTCTTCTAGAATTCACTCCTTCCCCAGCCTGGTGCAGCTCCCTATCCTGGTCTTTAGGTTCTGATGTAAAACATGGCTGGGTCAAGAGCAGGATCCAGCCTTCTTTGGGGGAAGTTGGGCTGTTATTTGAGCCCCTGCCTCAGATCACCAGTAAGTCTGAGGTACTGATGGGACAGAACCAAAATGGAACTCATTATCAGGCTCATTTGAGGAGACTCAGGGAACTTATATGTTTATCCTAAGAGCACACAGCTGTGAAGTAGGAGGGATGGAGTTCAAATCCAAACTGTTTGACACTAGAGCACAAGCTTGGTGGGTCTCTTACTCCCAGACCTCTTTCTCCACTCCCCCCACACACTGGGGAGTTGTAGAAATGGCAGATGGGGGCAGTGACCAAAGGGGACAGGCACTTTCTGCTTTTCTCATTCACACAATACCTGGGCTTTGTATATGAGGTGGGTCAGCCAGCCCCTCTCAAGAATGGCACAAGTGTAGCTGGAACCAGTAGCTGGGATTATAGATGTGGACACCATGCATGGCTGAGGTTTGGTCTTAAAGCTGGGCATGTGGGGCGCCTGACTCCACCTGAGTACCTGAGATCTCTCTGACCTTGAGCTGAAGGGGCAACTAGAGCTATAGCACTGTCCTGGTGCGTGCTGAGTTGTGTGCTGGGGGTAGAGAGGTAGTGGGATCCCCAAGGGGTCTCAGAGAGACCCAAGACCATACATATGAGTCATGGAGAGGGGGGGGTGGAATGAGATGAGCAACTGTTGGGAAATAGTCGAGCTGGGCATTGCTAAGCATTGAACTGTCTGTCTCCCTCTAAGGAGTCCCCACCTCTCTGGTGACATTCTGAGGCTTGGAGCCCCAGTGGGTCCTTGGACAGGGCATGGTGAAAGTCCAGAGCAGGACCCAGGGATCTGTGTTTTCAACAAGTTCCTCAAGTGATTACAGTGCACGTGGTCCTCTGAATAAACCTTCAAAACCATTGTCCTGGACCTCCCAGCCAGGCAGCCAAGAGAAACCCCTTCCGGAGCCTTCTAGCAGCCGGGAGCCTGGTGTGTGTAATTGTTTTCCATGACTGAATTTAAACGCATTCCAGTCTCTGCAGAGCACTGTCATCAGCCAGAGCTTCTCCTCTGTTTAAAATAAATGTCTCAAGCCATGGCCCTGTCTCCAACCCTCCCCTGCCAAGTTTCTCAAAAGAGTAGGCCACCCCAGGTCACCCACTCAGTGCTGAACTGTATGCTGGCTTTCTTCCTCTTATGCTCTGTCCTAAACTGTCCCTTACTGTCCTTTTCACACTGTGACCTCCTCTCAGCTGAGGCCCCAGAGCAACTGGCTTCTCCTTTAAATTCCAGCTCCTCTGCAGGTGGCCCTTGAAATCAAGTATCACTGATATCCTGGGACCTCCTTGTCTTGAAACTTTTCCTCTGTCAAAGGGGCAAAGTGTAGGCTGGGGTTGTGACTCAGCAGTACAGTGCTCGCCTAGCATGTGTGAGGCCCTGGGTTCACTCCTCAGCACCACATAAAAATAAGTAAATAAAGGTTTTGTGTTCAACTACAACTAAAAAATAAATATCAAAAGGGGGAGGGCTGGGGTTGTGGCTCAGCGATAGAGCGCTTGCCTCCCATGTGCAAGGCCCTGGGTTCACTCTTCAATACCACATAAAAATAAATAAATAAATAAACAAAATAAAGGTATTGTGTCCAACTACAACTAAAAAATAAATATTAAAGGGGGGGCAAAGTGTGGGGAACTCCCATCTCCAGGAGTCTCCAACATTTATGCCTGATGTTTGGGACACACTGTGCCTGCATTTTTAGGGGCTATATTGAATCTCCCCTGGGCTAGCCCTCTGGAGCCCTTCCAGATAAAGTCAGTCACAGAAATCTAAGTCACCTGTCACCCTTGAAAGGCCCAGGGATCTGGGCTCTTCACTGTTCTCGCTGAGAGAGGAAACAGTACCATCCTTGAGGGACCAGGCTTCACTGCCAGGAATTCTGACTTATGTTTTGTTTTCCCTGATAAAATTACATGTGTTTTTGTCACGTTCGTTCCGCATCCCAGCACCTGAGCCCTTCCCTCCACTGGGTTCTGTCCCAGAGCCCTACAGCCTCAGGGTCGTCTCTTTCCAACCACCATCCACACCTGGCCCACTCAACCTTCGCCTAAGAACACCTCAAGTCATTCCCTCTCTGGGGGTCTCAGAAACCCTGCGATGGCTGTCCCACTTTGCTGGGGCCCCACAATGGGCCAGGCACTGTGTCTAGGGCGTGAGCTGGAGGGGTGGGGACTGACCCATCATTCTGGCTGTGACATGTCAGACCTACCTACCTGGCTTTCCTACACCTGTTAGTGTCCTCACAGCACTGGGCCGAAGCTCCTGTCCAGTGTCAGTGGTGGAGTTTGGTTCAGTTCTGGGTTTTGCCCCCACCAGCCTTAGGCCGGGTTCCTTGAGCCCTGGTGGGTCTGTTTCTTTTACACGCTGGCAATGGAACCAAGGCCTTGAGCGCACTAGGCAAGTGCTCTGCCTCTGAACCGCACCCCCAGGCCTGAGTTTTGGTTTCTTGGTATCTGACACCGCAGTTGGTCCTGTTTCATGTATTGTGAGGACCAACATGACATTAGGACATTACATGACCTGGTCCTTAAAAGTTGGCACAAAATATTGCTTGATCTGTATTATTGCATTTAATTCTCAAAACCTCTCTTTGAGGGATTAGGGATATAGCTCAGTTGGTAGAGTGTTTGCCTCACATGCACAGGTCCCGGGTTCAATCCCCAGCACCAACACACACACACACACAAAAAAAAAATCTCTCTTTAGGTAGATCATCAGGCCATCTTTGGCAGATGGCAAGAGGGAAGCTCAGGGACACCAAGTGTTTTGAGTAGGAACACACAGCTCTAATGTCACAGAGATGGGTTTTGGGTCCAAACTGTTTCACTCCACTACCTGAGCTCCCAGCTCCTATCTTAAAATCCTTTCTTTCTTTTTCTTTTCTTTTTTTACCTTAACTTTATTTATTTTTATGTGGTGCTGAGGATCGAACCCAGCACCTTGCACATGCTAGGTGAGTGCTCTACCATTGAGCCACAGCCTCAGCACAATCCTTTCTTGATTGTCTCTTCCCACTGTCTCTTTTTCTTGTGTAGTGCTGGGAATTGAACCCAGGGCCTCATACATGCTAAGCAAGCACTTACCACTGAGCTACATTCCCAGTCCTGGTTCTCCTTACATTCTGTTCATACATTTATTCAACAGATATCTGTGGCCTGCCTATTCCCTGGTGACGTAGGGGCGAACAAACAGGTGAAGCTGTGCCCTCATATCCTGACATTTAATGGGGGTCAGAGAGGAAGAGTTGTGTAGAAACTTGCCCAAGACACCGCTCTTCCTCTGTCTGCTCTTGGGAACACAGCAGGGAACCCTCCAGCTGGCTCCCCAGCTGCTCCTTTTACATGAAGGCCTTCAAGCAGCAGGCATCGTAGCAGGGAGCTGGATCACTGCAGAACCGATGTAGGGTTTGGAGGCATTGGGGTCCTTGGCCAAGCGGGCAGTGTGGGCAGGGTTGGAATGGGGTTGCCGTTGGGCACCCCGACACACAGGCCAGTTTGAGAGCAGATGGATCACCTGGAAGAAGCCACCATGTTTTACTGGGCCTTGGGTCCCCCCCAACCCAGGCCATGTCAGACTCTCTAGAAGCACTCACAAGCTTGTCCCTACTCACCAAGTTCCCCTCCATTATCCACAGTTCACCTAGTTTGGGTTTAGAATGAAGAGGGTTTGGGTAGTGTTGCTGAGGCCCAAAGATCCACGAGCTTCCTCCATTGACACTGGCCTCAGCACTGAGGTTCCTGAGGCAAACTGCAAACCAAGACCTCAGGGAGATGCCACTTCACACCCTTGAGGATGGCTATAATAAAAACAAAAAAAACAAGTGTTGCCGGGCCTGGTGGCACATGCCTGTAATCCCAGCAATTCAGGAGGCTGAGGCAGGAGGATGGCAAGTTCAAGGGCAACCTGGGCAATTTAGCGGAACTCTTTCTCAAAATAATTTTTAAAAAGGACTAGGGATGTAGCTAAATGGTAGAGTGTTTGCATGTGCATGGCCCAGAGCTCAGTCCCCAGTACTGCAAAAACAAACAAGTGTTGTAAAGGATTTGGAGGGATTGCAACACTGAGACACTGGGGAGGACATCCTAAGCCACTTTGAAACCTCTGACAGACCCTCAAAAGGTTACATAGGGGTCAGGGGTGTTGCTCAGTGGTAGAGACTTGCCTAGCATGCATAAGGTCCTGGGTTCAATTCCCAGTACTGAGAAGGAAAAAAAAAAAAAGTTTAAGCCTACTTACCGGATGACCCAGCAGTTCTACTCCTAGGTGGAAATGAAAAGATATATCCACACCAAAACGTGTATGGAAATACCTATTACAGCATTATTTCTAATAGCCAAAAAGCAGAAACAATGTCTATCAACTGATGAAGAGATAAACAAATTGAGGTCTGTTCTCACAGTGGAATATTATTTAGCCATAAAAAGAAGTGAAGCACTGATTCATGTTACATGCTGAAGGAAAGAAGCCAGCCACAAAGAACTAGGTATTGTGTGATTCTTTTTATATGTAATGTCCAGAATATGAAAATAGATTAGGGGCTGGTGGGGCCCCTAATCTATAGGGAGTGACTCTAAGCAGGGTTTTTTTTTTTTTGATGATGAAATATTCTGAAATTGATTGTCATGATAGATGCACAACATCATGAATATACTGAAAATCACTGAACTATATACTGAGGCATAATCAAAGTCTGAATTATTCCAGTGGCTTGGAAGGTTGAGGCCGGAGGATCCCAAGTTTGAGGCCAGCCTCAGCAACAGAGGACCTAAGCAACTCTTCGAGACCTTGTGTCACAATAAACAATAAAAAAGAATTGGGGGTGTAGCTCAATGGTTAAGCACCCCTGGGTTTAATCTCTGGTACAAAAAAAAAAAAAAAAGAAGAAGAAGAAGAAGAAAGGAAGAAACAAACAAAAAGAACTTCCTAAGTGCGGGGAGGCAGTACATAGGGGTAATACTGCAATGGTTCTCCTGAAAGGATCGCCAAGAAGTGACTGGAAGGAGGAGGTTTCTTTTCATCCTTCAGGGTCTCAACTCACATGGCATGTCCCCAATCAAGACAGGCCTCACCACCCATAGCATAACCCTCCCTTTGTCACTTTGTCCTCTGTCAGCCCATTTCTTCCCCCTTAGAATTCTTTTCTGTCTGTGGACTTGGTTTTGCGTGACTCTCTTGCTCAACTGAGCTCCATGAGGTTGTGCTTGTTTGTATCTTGTTCCCCATGTGGTAGGTGCTCAATAAATACCTGCTGAATGAACGAACCCATGTATATTGATAACAGCTGTGAGCACGCTGGTCCAGGCTGGGGTCAGTGGCTGGTGTTGGGGAAGCAGCCTATAGGCCCAGAGTTTCTCTGGCCCAGCAGCATGCTCTCTGCGGGTTCCAGTGCCAGTAGAATGTCTCTGGAAAGGAAGCCCACAGCTTGGTCTGGCTGGGAAACAGCAAGAGGGGAGGGGGTGCTGGGCTGCCAGGCCTGGGGAGGAAGTCTCCAGCCCCAGGCTGCCTCGGGCGGGCGTGGCGTCTGTGTTTGCACCTTTGGAATGTGGCTGATTCACTCTGGGGGGAGCCATGTGCTGCTGCCGCCGCTGCCTTGGGTCTGACATCTGGAGACTGAATTCCAGGAGGAGAGAGATGGATTCCTGCAAGCAGATGCCAACTTTGAAGGTCAAATGGAAACATGGAATTGCCTTAAGAGGGGGCTGAGAGGATCTATCACCTACTTCCAGGGCCTAAGAGAGAGGTGCAGACCCAGCTGTAGCCTTGACCCAGCTCTGGAGCTACAGTAGCCTCTACTGGTATAGCCTGGGGCAGGGAAAGGGGCGGGGAGCTCAGCAGTCAGACCTGGGTTCAAAGACAGTTACTTAACACATCCTGTAATTGCGAGGGCTAAGGGCTAGCTGGGTCTGGGATGCTGACACTGGCTTGCATCTCTCAGCCAAGTTTCCTCTGCATTCCCTTTACTTTCACGCCAGCACCTCCTAATGTCACAGGGGAGACTGTGACATTATAGGCCCGTGACTTCCCAGCCTACTTTTCTCATGGGTTCCAGCAAGATCCTAAGTTTGTCTCTCCTTGACCAGAGTTGGGTACCAGCTCATTTCTGAAAGGATCATCATGCAGCTGATAAGATGGGTGTGGGTCAGGAACCCACCCCAGACAGGGTTGGCACCCTGGGAGTTGTATGCAGAATATAGGAGTAGGGACCCCAGAGGAACAATACTGTAGCTCTGCTGCTGCCTGCCTGGGACTGGTTATTGGGACTTGTACCAGGCATTGAGCCTGGCTTTGTGGGATTTTACCTATCAGGGTGTACCTTTGGTTAAGTCTCTGCCTTAAGCTCTGAAGCTCATTTTCTTCATCTATGAAATCTCCAGTTCTTTTAAGAATTGAATAAGATAATGCATGAAAATCCCTTGGCACATGGCTGGTCACAAGGAGGTACAGCCAGTGATAACTATCACCCAGTCCCTTTCTCTTGGGTTCTATATGATATGCAAGGATGCTGTGTGTGCGTGTGCGTGTGTACAGCCCCCTTTCTGATCCCTGAGGTGTGCTATATTGTTTGACATGTTCCCCACCCCACCCCCCAGGAGGCTGAGGGCAATGCAGGATGGAGGCTGGGGGCAAAGAGGGTGGAAGGAGAGAAACACAGTCCAGTCCCAGTGTGTGTGCCCCAGCTGCAGGGCCTGCAGGCTCAGGCCTGCTTCTGGAAGTCACCTCCCCCACCTTCAGCCTGCTGGTGGCTGGAGGAGGGGCCCTGGAGACCTCAGCTCCAAGGAGCTGCTGTCCCTGTGCCTCCCCAGCTACATCAGGAGGATGTCTGGCCATCTGACATTGGAAGGTCCCTGGATCAGTCTTGCAGGACATCTCTGTTCTCCTGGGCTTCAGGAGTTTCTGGGAGGTGGAGGGCAGGCCTCCTCTGACCTTTTGCTGCTGTTTGTGAATCACTGGAGCAAAACACCTATTGGAACTAGCTTGGGGCAGCGTGTTAGAACCAGCGTGCCATCCCCAGCTCAGTGACCTCTATTGCTGCCAGCTCTGCTCGCTATCACACCTCTAAGCTGCCCCAGGCTGTGGTGCTGACCTGTCCCTGGCTCCACCCAAGTCCTCCCTGGCTCCACCCAAGTCCTCCCAGTCTCGATTCCAGTTCCATTCCCACCTCCTCAAAGAAGTTTTTCTGGATAGCTTTTCAAACCCCTGGTAATTCTCATCTTCATGACTGGTCTTGGGTTCAATGTGTCAACACGATGGTCAGTGATTCCTGTATGACTGCACAGCCATCTGGTCACTCGTCCATATCCTGCAGACACAGAACATGCAACTCCTTGGCTTTGCCAGGTTCTCGCTACTCAGCCCTTTCTTTCTTTCTTTCTTTCTTTCTTTCTTTCTTTCTTTCTTTCTTTCTTTCTTTCTTTCTTTCTCTCTTTCTTTCTTTCTTTCTTTCTTTCTTTCTTTCTCTCTTTCTTTCTTTCTTTCTTTCTTTCTCTCTTTCTTTTTTTTTTTTTAAAGAGAGAGTGAGAGAGGAGAGAGAGAGAGAGAATTTTTAATATTTATTTTTTAGTTCTCGGCGGACACAACATCTTTGTTTGTATGTGGTGCTGAGGATCGAACCCGGGCCTCACGCATGCCAGGCGAGCGTGCTACCGCTTGAGCCACATCCCCAGCCTTCTTTCTTTCTTTCTCTCTTTTGGTGGGAATTGTACTGGGAATTGAACCCAGAGGAATTCTACCTGTGAGCTACATCCCCACATCCCCAGTCCTTTTTATTTTTTGAGACAGGGTCTCATTAAATTGCCCAGGCTGGCCTCAATCCTGTCTCAGCCTTCTCAATCAATGGGATCACAGACATGGGCTACCATAGCTCACTTCTTAAAAAAAAAAAATTTTTTTTTTTTTGAGGGGAGGGGGCAGAGATCAAACCCAAGCACACTTAACCACTGAGCAATATCCCAGGTTTTTTTTTTTTAAGTTGTAGATGGACTTGATACCTATATTTATTTATTTATTTATCTATCTATTTATTTATTTTTATGTGATGCTGAGAATCAAACCCAGTGACTCATACATGCTACATAAGTGCTCTACCATTGTGCCACATCCCCAGCCTTTTCTATTTTTTATTTTGAAACAGAGTCTCATTAAGTTGCTTAGGGCCTTGCCAAGTTGCTGAGGCTGGTTTTAACTTTTCGATCCTCCTGCCTCAGCCTCCAGAGTCACTGGGATCGTAGGGGCATGCCATCACGCCCTGCTCAAATGTTTTTTTAAATGTGTTCACCTGGTTTCTTCTGTTATGTGACCTATTCCCTGAAGCTAAAGGATAGCTACATTTTTTTTAAAGGATACTGGGGATGGAACCCAGGAGTGCTCTACCACGGAGTTACATCCCCAGGTCTTTTTGTTTCTTATTTTGAGATAGTGTCTTTCTAAGTTGCCCAGGCTGGCCTCAATCTTGTGATCCTCCTGCCTCAGCCTTCTGAGTAGCTGGAATTACAGGTTTGTGCCACAGATTCCTCCTTATTCCTTTTAACTCTGAATAATATTCCATTGTAGCTCCTTTGTCAGCTATCGATAGACATTAAGGGTTGCTTCTACCTTTGGCTGTTATGAATAACCTAGCTATGAATATGTATGTGTGAACTTTTGTATGGATATAGATTTTCAATTTTATTTTCTTTTTTTTTTTTTTTTTTTTTTGTGGTGCTGGGGATTGAACCCAGGGCTTTGTACTTGTGAGGGAAGCACTCTACCAACTGAACGATATCCCCAGCCCTAGGTTTTCAATTAAAAAAAAAAAAAATGTTTAGTTGTAGCTGGACACAATACCTTTCATTTATTTATTTATGTGGTGTTGAGGATTGAACCCAGCCCCTTAGGTTTTCAATTTTAAGACCTCTTCTTTTTTTCTTCCCCTGTCCTGGGGGGATGGAACCCAAGGGCCTAGCAGGTGCTAGGCCTGAGCCCCTCCGCCTTTATTCTTTAAGGACTCTCTGACAAAGACCTCACTTAACCTTCACAGCGACCCTGCAGGGCCGGCCCTTCCTGGCATCCTCTCCCTTCTTCAGTCAGGGAAACCGAGGTTCTAGAGCTGAGATGAGGCCAGGCTCAGGTTGGCGCTTGGACTGTCTGGCTCACTGTGGCTGTGATGCCTCCAGAGTCATTTCTGGTCCTTGTTGGCGCTGCCTTGCGGAGTGCTCCTGTCCCCAAATGTTGCTGACTCTTCAAACAGGCTGTGCAAACCTCAAACCTCAGAAACCTCCGTGACCTGTCTAGTTGAGCACCCAGCAGTGGTCTGTGGCCCAGAGGATGCACCTCTGGGGATTAAGGCAGTCCCTCCTGCTGCTGCAGAATCCCTGACCCTCACTTCCTTGGTGTGCTGTTCTTAGCCTGACCCCCTCAGGGGATGGCAGTCCCAGAAGCTGCTGGCCCTTTTGTTTGTTGTGGACCACTTCCTTTGGGTCCCAGGGCTGTGTTCCATTTCTTGCTTTCTGTGGGTTTGGCACACAGACCTTTGCTAACCTGGTAATGAACTTCTTCCATCTGTCCCCATGGCGTGGTGGGTCTGAGTCTAGCTATAGACAAGTCCAGGTTCAAGTCAGCTGTCTCATTTTCTGGCAGTGTGGCTTTTAGAAAATTTTCTGAACCTGTGAGCCCTGGTTCACTGGGGGTCACAATAATAGTCGGTCCTCACAGGAGAGCTGGGGTATTGACTAAGTGAATGGCTGGTGGCCCAGCACCTCGCCTCTCTTAGCTGGCCCTTGCTGCTGTGGTCCTTGTTCAAAGGCAGCCTTGCATCTCTTGCTGGCCTTGAGCAGCAGGAGGCTGGGTCGCCTGGGAGGCTTCCGTGGTCAGTTCTGAGTGAGGTGGGCGAAGTCGAGGTTGGGACCCTGCTGCCTGGCAGCTGAAGGGTTTGGATGATGACCAGGCACCACCCTGTGTGGGTGCCACAGCTCCCAGCCTGAGGCAGGAGGGGCAGCCACAGGGCGGGGACCTGAGCCAAGGAAAGGAGGTCCAGGCAGCCTGCTCTGGCTCCTGCCAGGGAAACCCTCTCCTCTTGCTGTTGCTCCTGCTCGCTCAGCCTTCCCAGCCCTGCCCCTGGCGTCCTGCTTCTCACATTTCAGCTTCTGAGTTACTGGCAGCCTGTGCTCTTGCTGCTACTGCCCAGGCGGTTGCACCAGGAGATGTTAACCCCCCGTGTGCTGGGCGCAGCGGCGGCGCTGCTGGGAAGGGCTGCAGGCCTGAAGGCTTGAGTGGGCACAGAGCCATCCTAAGACCAGTTTCTCTGCCCCCCACATGCTACAGTGCTTATCTTTCCTCCTGCCTGCCTGTCTGTGGAAACCTGAAGCCAACAACTTCCCTGAGCCCTACAAATTGTCCTTCCTTTGACCGACTGGGTACTGGCAGTAGACGGCAGAGCTTAGATTATATATCACCTTGTAATTGACCTTGTCATTTTATGCATGGCCGTGATTCTCCCTCCCTATCCCTCACTGCCCCCAGCAGGACTCTCCTCTGGCACCCAGCTTACTCGGCCAGGACTGGGCCACCAGGGCCAGGTGAGCTCTTTTGAGTTCAGAGGTCAGTGTGGAAGCTACTCTCCAGGGCAGCTCACAGGGTGACTGGAAGGAGCCTGAAAGACTCTGAGCCCTGGCACTTACTAGCCATGATTATGGGCAAGTCCCTAGAGTGCAAGGATAGCACTTGAGGTGTGTAGTGAGGATGAAACAAGTAAGTCCTCTGGAGCGGCCCTCACACACAGCAGGCCCATGGATGCTGCTGCCCACATGTGCCGCTGAGGCTGCCCCTCCCCAGGGAAAGCAGCTCCCTTCCCTGGCTGCGGCTTCCACCTTGGAGCCCTACAAGTCGGGTTTCCAACTAGAGCAGTCCAGCTCTTTATTTTTCTAAATTTTATTTTATTTTTCTGGTGGTGCTAGTGATTGAACCAGGGGTGCTCTACCACTGAGCTACATCCCCACCTCCTATCATTTTATTTTGAGACAGGGTTTCACTGAGTTGTTAAGGCTGGCCTCAAACTTGCAATCCTCCTGCCTCAGCCTCTGGAGTCGCTGGGATTACAGGGATGCACCTCTGCTCCTGGGAGTTCCAGACCTTTCTTTTCCAATCTGAAAAGGGAATTGGCTCCAGTAACAAAATGAGTAATTAAATAATATAATAAAAAGGAATGGGTTGGGGAGTAACTCAGTGGTAGAGCACATGCCTAGCTACCATGCCTGAAGCCCTGCATTCAATCCCTAGCAACAGAAAAAAAATATTAAAAAGGGACTTAGTATTCTGCTGTTTCTCACCCACCTCTGTCCACTCAGTGGAGATCAGCTAGCTGACCCCCAACCCTGATACTAGAGACGGAGACGGCACTTCCTAGTTCTCTCCAGTCGCCCTCTGTTCCCTATTTTTCTCTTGAACCTCAAACCCTCCCTCCTAGTTCCTCCTGAGCCTCCTCTGACCCTTGGCCCTCTCCAGCCACATTCCCTCAGCCCCTTGGCTGGTTATTCTTTTATAAGAATAACTGGACACCTGAGACTCTGTCCTCCCCACCTCCTTTGCTCCTGGTGAAAGGGCTCTGCTGGGCAGCAGGTGCCTCTGTTCTGGTTCAATCTTCTCTACTAATTTTTCGAGGGTCTTCCATGTCCACATGCCTCGGGCTGCTGATCTACGCGATTGAATTATTATAACTGTCCTCACTGCCTTACAGAGAATCAATTTAGGAAGCAGTTAGACAGCTTTTCTATCTGAAAAAGAAATAGTACATCTGCACAGCTACCACTTGAGTATTTATAAAAGGGGACAGCCCAATTGACACAGCCAAGGCTCTGGGTTCCTCCTGTCACATACTGAGAAGCAGAGAGATGCTTCCCTCAGAGACAATCCTTAACCAGCTGAGGTGGGAGGAAGCAGAGGAGCTACATGTTGAAAAGAAGGACCAGGGGCTGGGATTGCGGCTCAGCGGTAGAGTACTTGCCTAGCACAGGCAGGACCCTGGTTGGATCCTCAGCACCACATAAAAATAAAGGCATTGTGTTGTGTCCATCTACACCTAAAAAATAATATTAAAAAAAGAAGGATCAGGGGCTGGGGATGTGGCTCAAGCGGTAGCGCACTCGCCTGGCATGCGTGCGGCCCGGGTTCGATCCTCAGCACCACATACAAACAAAGATGTTGTGTCAGCCGAAAACTAAAAAATAAATAAATAAATATTAAAAAAAAAAAAGAAGGATCAGCAGGGAAGAGGGAGACAAGGGCAGGTGCCCACCACATTGGAGCAGAGGGTGGGGGACAAGGGTAGACTCCCTTCATTTGAACACCTTGTTTTCAGTAGCTTGCTTATGACTGAAGTGAATTAGATGGGGACAGGTGAAGGAGGTGGGCACCCAGAGGTCAGGCCCTTTGAGGCTCCTAGATTGCTAGGCACCACCTGGATCTGCAGGGCTTTGGGAGCATGAAGAGTCCAGCCTCCACCTCCACCCCAATACTGCCTTGATTTCCCCAACTGTGTTCAGCTACTGCTTGCCCACCCAGCAGAGTGTGTGTGTGTGCTGAGCGCCCCCTAGTGTTTGGGGGTCTCAGTCTGGTTGGTCCAGAGCTCTTCATGAGCACAGAGCAGGAGAGGGGACCAGGGCATCTGGTCATATTAGACCAGAGTCTAATATGACTTTGCCCTGTGGCCCCACCCTCATTCTGCCTTCCTGGGAACACTCAAGTTCCTTCCCCAGGCAGGGACTTTTTGCTTCTATGGTTCTCATCCTGTTGCTATCCTCTGATATCTGTCTACCCCTCCTCACACCTGCCCAGCTCCCAACAGGTTCTGGTTCCCCACATGCACCAAAGCATATCAGGACAAAAGCGATCTGGTCCATCCACTGCTCCTGGAATATGTGCGTACAAGAAAAAGCCTCAAATTAAGTTTGGGCACATAGATTCCTGTTAGATTCCATTTCTAGTTCTCTGAATGTCCTCAGAAAGACTCTTAACTTGCTCTAATCCTCCTTCATGTTCCCCCCATCTTTGGGAGTACAATTCTCTGTGATCTCCAGTGACCCTCAGCCTGGTGTAATCCTTTCCAGTTGAATGAATATATATTTTAGAAATACATATTCATATATAGTTTAGAAATGAGAAAAATCTATCCCCTCTCCACAGGGTGCTGCTGCTTGTAGAGTCAAAATCTGCAGCCAGGCCAGGAGCATGGCACGGTGGAGGGGTGCTTGCCTAGCATGTGCAGAGCCCGGGTTGGATCCCTAGCACCACACACACAAAAATACATCCTGCAGCAGCCCCCTTGCTGACAGCGCTCCCTTGTGGCTACAGTTCTTGATTCCACATTTCTCAATCAGCAACTCCCAACCAGCCTAAAAGGAGGGTGTTGTTGGGGCTAAGAAGGGCTGCTGGAACCCTCAAAGCAGCCAGGACCCCAGGCCAGGGAGGAAAGTCCCACTGTGGCTGAGGAAAGAAGCCCTGAGCCCACTGCTCTGAGACCCCCTGGACTTCTGTTTTTAAATAGCAGCTCTGTAGCCTGGTGGTAGAGCTAGTGGTAGAGCATATGCTTAGCATGTGCAAGGCCCTGGGTTTGATCCACAGAGCTGGGGGGAAAAAATTGCCAAAAATAGCTTTATTAGATATAATTCACATGCTACATAATTCACCCATTTAAGTTATAGAATTCAGTGCTTTCTAGTGTATCGACAGAGTTGTGCAACTGTCACTAATTTTAGAACACTTTCATCACCCAAACATAAACCCTATGCCCACTGGCATTCATCCCTTTATCCTCCAACCCCCATACCCTGGCACCACTAATCCACTTTCTGCCTCTATGGATGTAACTGTTCTAGACAGTTCATAGAAACAGAATCATAGGACATATGACCTTTTCTCTCCCCCTGCCCCCACTTAACATGTTTTCAAGATTCATCCATGTTGAAGCTTTTTTTTTGGGGGGGGTTACCAAGGATTGAACTCAGGGGCGCTCACTCACTGAGTCACATCCCCAGCCCTGTTTTTGTATTTTATTTAAAGACAGGGTCTCACTGAGTTGCTTAGCACCTTGCTTTTGCTGAGGCTGGCTTTGAATTCTCAATCCTCCTGCCTCAGCCTCCTGAGCCACTGGAATTACAGGTGTGCACCACCGCACCATGGCCATGTTGTAGCTTTTTTTTTTTTTAGTTGTCATTGGAGGGGTCCTGGCTGCTATTTTTATATATATGGTACTGAAAATCAAACCCAGTGCCTCACACATGCTAAGTAAGCACTCTACAGCTGTGCTACGACTCCAGCCCTTTGTTGTAGCTTTTGGTTATGGTAAATAATATGAACATGAACGTATTGTGAACATGGGCATACAATGGTCCACAAACTAAAAGCAATATGTAGGGCTGGGGATGTGGCTCAAAGCGGTAGCGCGCTCACCTGGCATGCGTGCGGCTCGGGTTCGATCCTCAGCACCACATACAAACAAAGATGTTGTGTCCGCCCAAAACTAAAAAATAAATATTAAAAAAATTTTCAAAAAAAAAAAGGAAAAGAAAAAGCTAGCTCAGAATTTTTCTAATGTTAGCATTTCCTTTCTTCCTTAAGAGACTGTGGGACAATCCCAAAAGGGTTAAAATGTGTGGTACAGTGTTGAAAAAAAAAATTATATAGCAAATAGTATTCGATGGGCTGGGGATGTGGCTCAAGCGGTAGCACGCTCGCCTGGCATGCGTGCGGCCCGGGTTCCATCCTCAGCACCACATAC